GCCCTCCAACGGTCTGAGGGACAGTGAACTGGCCCCCTGTTTAAAAAGTTTGAAGACCTCTGATGTAGGGGAATAAGGACTCCCTACCTGCAGAGAGGGCAATGGCATGTGGATCTCTGTGGAGAGCTGTGCCAGTGGCTGAGGCAGAGGAGGTTTGTTCTGAATTCGGATAGCCGGGAGAAAAACCAAGGAGGTGAAAATAGCTGTGAGCAGGCCTGGGCACCTTCACCTCCATCCAGCTGGAGGGGCAGGTGAGCTAACACAAGAAGCTTTCCCCCAGGCAACAAGCCTAGGGGCCTTTATGTAGTGGCCAGAACAGTGACTGGGGATCAAGCCTTGATGCTGATTACTAACAGTAAAAGTAAGAGAATAGGCACCTGCCAACTTAATCATGGTCATTCAAAATAATGTGGTACCTCCTGGCCTTCAGGCAAGAAAGCCTAATTGACTGACATTCCCTACAAGAGCCAATTGGCAATACCTGTCACAAGGGCCAATATACAACTAGAATCTGTGCTTTCTGGGATTGACCATGGGTGTGTCCACCCAGGTGTGGAGGGACACGTGGGCCAGTCAGCCCCATGGGTGGTTTGCAACAAACCTTATCTCCAGATCCTAATTTAATTATATCTGCACAGACCGTACATACAAATAAGGTCATGTTCACAGGTACTAAAGGGTCAGAACTTCAACATATCTTTGGAGGGACACAGTTGAACCCCCAACACTGAAGCCTGTGCTCCAGACTCTGGCCAGTGGCTTATATGTTGTGTAGTTTTCTGGCAGATGGTCATCACAACAGTGACCCATCGGGGCAGTAGGGTCTCACTCATTATTGCCTTTGGTTATTAACTTCCTCCCCCAAACCAAACTATTTGCTGCAACAAACTTATTTTTCTGTAATGATCATTGTCAAAAAATAAGACATTTTACCTTTTTTAACTTTTTTTCCTTGCCAAGATGCTGTTAGGCCTTAGCCGGCCAGGGGAGCGTTCCAGGGTAAGTGTTCCAGGTGGAGGGGACAACAAGTGTGGGTGTGGGACAGCTGTCCCACAGCATTCCTCCAGAATGTTCCAGAAACAACAGGAGACCTGTGTGACTGCAGCAGAGTGGATGTGGGTGGGGAAGGCAGAGTTGAAGGTGATGGGCAGATGTGGGCTAGAGGAATGGGGGACCCAGGAAAGCTTCAGAGTCTCCGAGCAAGGACAGCAGCTGATGATGAACTCGGCTTAGCAGGGGCAGGCAGGGCCACATGGGAGGTGCCCAGTGGGCATCCAGATGAGAATTAAGTTTGCCTTCTCCTTTTTTTTTTTTTTTTTTTTTGAGACAGAGCCTCAAGCTGTCCCCCTGGGTAGAGTGCCGTGGCATTACAGCTCACAGCAACCTCCAACTCCTGGGTTCAAGCGAGTCTCCTGCCTCCGCCTCCCAAGTAGCTGGGATCACAGGCGCCTGCCACAACGCCCGGCTATTTTTTGGTTGCAGCCGTCATTGTTGTTTGGCGGGTCCGGGCTGGGGATTCGAACCCGCCACCTTAGGTGTACGTGGCTGGCGCCTTAGCCGGTTGAGCTATAGGCACCGAGCCTTTTTTTTTTTTTTTTTGAGACAGGGTCTCACTATGTCGCCCTCGGTAGAGTTCTATAGTATCATAGCTCATAGCAACCTCAAACTCTTGGGCTCAAGTGATTCTCTTGCCTTAGCCTCCCAAGTAGCTGGGGCTATAGGTGCCCACCACAACGCTTGCCTATTTTTGGTCGCAGTTGTCGTTGTTTAGTTGGCCCACGCCAAGTTCGAACCCGTCAGTTCCCGTGTATATGGTTGACGCTATAACCACTGTGCTATGGGCGCTGAGCCTAAGTTTACCTTCTCAGGAGAGAGGCCAGGGCTATAGAGAGGGGTGGGGAGCCGTCAGCAGGTGGGATACCAGAAGGGCCTTCAGGGGAGGTGGTGTGCCGAGCTGTAGGAGGGGTTTTTCTGGAGAAGAGGATGAGTATAGATGGGCCTGGTCCTCAGCTGTTCTCATCATTTCCCCAAAAATGCTTAGGGTCTCTGGGAAGGACTTGGGTACCAGAGGGTTTCTGAGGTGTGGGGAGGGAAGTGGAGTCACCGGACAGCCCTTAATAATGCAGACAACATAGAGCCAGCGTGGACATCAAGCCCCCTGAGTTCCAGCCAACACATGGTTTCCCTAGAGCCAGGAGCACCTCCTAAGACATAGAGGGGTCCCGAGGAAAACCCCATCAGCCACCACTGTGACGTGGAGTCTCATCTCAGGCTGTTCCCCACTAGGAAGACAGGCAGTGGCTGGGAATGAACATGATGATGTTTACTGGAAAGCGAATAGCTGTGTGCAGTGTCCTCCCGGGCCCCTGAGCAGCACCCTGACCCTACCTGCAGGGAGCTGGATGCAGCTTCCAGGAACCGCTCAGGACTGTCCTTATCAGGTCTGAATTTGTCCAGTTGCTCAATCACCATTTCGACACATTTCCCATAGTAGGCCATCCTCCCAAGGAAGGACCCTAGAGACAAACCATCACAGGTCATGTCCTCCAGAACCTCTGGGCTGCCAGCTTTCTTTCTTTTCTTTCTCTCTTTCTTTCCTTTCTTTTCTTCTCTCTCTCTTTCTTTCTTTAAATTTCAGATTATCAGAAAGGCACATATGATTAGGCTACATCGTGTTTGCCAGGTAACATCCAAGTTGTAGTTGAGCCCTTCACCTAGGAGGTGTGCCACATACCCCTACATTGTCCCTTAGATGGGAACTTATCGAGCCCCCTACCACCAATGCCTCCGTTTCTTTTTTTTTTTTTTTTTGAGACAGAGTTTCACTTTGTCGCCCCGGGTAGAGTGCTGTGGCATCACAGCTCACAGCAACCTCCAACTCTTGGGCTCAAGCGAGTCTTCTGCCTCAGCCTCCCAAGTAGCTGGGACCACAGGCACCCGCCACAACGCCCGGCTATTTTTTGGTTGCAGCTGTCATTGTTGTTTGGCTGGCCCAGGCTGGATTCAAACCCGCCACCTTAGGTGTAGGTGGCTGGCCTTAGCTACTTGAGCCACAGGCGCTGAGCCTGTTTCAAAGATAAAGGAAGTAAGACTCAGAGAGGACATGCAGCTGGCAAGTAGCCAGGCCTTGTAGGGGCACTGAACATTCCGGAATGCACCTGTCATTGCTTAAAAGGAGGGAGGCTAGATACCACCAGATGCTAAAGAGACACCTTTGGCATGAAACAGAAAAACAAAGAACCCAGAAAGAAAGGAGCCAGGAGAAAGCATATAATGCACAAAGCAGGAAAAGCATAGAAGCAAACACCAGAGCCAGACTCTGTGCCAGAGATGCATCCAAGAAACAAGGAGTGGGTAACAGCTGGGGAAAAAGAAAGGGCTCCCAAAAGTAGGTCATGACAGTGGACCTGAAAACATGAGTAACAGAGATGGAAGATAGACGCGGAGGGAATCTCCTGCAGAAGAAAAAGATGAAGCTATAGAAAAGAAAAGAAAAACACTAATTAGGGAACCATTCCAAAATGTCAAAACCCCAATTAACAGGAGCTCCAGGAAACACAGAGAAGAGAACAATAAAACAAGAAAATGCCCAAGAATTGAAGGACATGGTTTTCCAGATAGACAGATCTCCAAGCACTCAGTACAAAGAATGAATCTTGAAATTTCAGAGCCACAGGCACCTCTGAATGTTTTCAGTCAAGGGTGCGGAGTTGGGTGGCTCCAGTAGCTTAAAGAGTAGGGCACCAGCCTCCAATACTGGAGGCGGCGGTGGTTCAAACCTAGCCCCAGCCAAAAACTGCAAAAAAAAAGAAGAAAAAGAAAAAAGGATAGAGTAGTCTCGGCCTTGGGAGGAGCCAGAGAAACACCAGCCAATTCTTGAGGAAACCCACTTCTAGCCCGGAAGGCTTCATGGAGTGAGCCCAGGAAGGACAGAGGTGGGTCTGGGGAGCAGGGGATGAACTGCAAGGAGCATCTCATGGGGTACTTCTGGGAAGGTGATGTAATCCCAGAGGACAGTGAGTGGCAGGACAGGGCAGGGGCCCCAGAGAGTCATCTCCAGGAGGAGCCACACCTGGCACGACTCCTGAGAGTTTGGAAAAGAGGCTGTGATGCCTGCCAGGGACAATGGGAAGGGCAATGGGAGGGAATCCCCTGCTGCAGTCACATCAGAGCCCAGCCCCTGCTGCACGTAGACACCAAAGCCAGCAGGAGCCTCACTTTGACAAGGCCAGAGGGGGCTAGGATGGTGGCTCATACCGTAATCCCAGCACTCCACAGGCTTGTGGGCCTGCAGTCCCAGCTACTCGCTGGACCCCAGGAGTTTGAGGCTGCAGTGAGCTATGACTGATGATGCCATATACTCTAGCTGGGGTGACAGAATAAGACCCTGTCTATCTCTAAAACAAACAAACAAAAAAAAAAAAAACCAGAAGAAAGGGCTCTTGTAATTCGCAAATCTGAGACTGGCCTGTAGCCTGGTGCTGAGGATAGGCCCTGGGGACCAACTCCCAGAAAACAAAGTCACTGTGGTTCACTGGTATGGAGTGAGCTTACAGCAGGTACCACCAGGATGCAGTCACTGCCCAGGCTTGAGCCCCAGCTTGTAATGATGATGATTGTGACAGACACGTTTTCCTTTTCCTCCATGTCTGGTCCTGATGACATGTAGCAAGCAAGCAACAGTGCCTGGATGGCACCAGATTAAAAGCTATTAAACATGCAAATCCACAGATGCTGAGACTACAGCCAGGCTTGGCTGGCAGGGAGAGATGAGAGGGCTGCATGTAGGCCCCAAACTTCCATCCCCCACAGGCCGGCTCTCCAGGAACTTCCTCCTGGGGCCACCCTTCACCTCCTGGGTCACTGGCATCACTCTAGTGGGCTTCTGGGGTGCAAAACCTTCACAGCTGTGAGCAGAAAGTTCAAGAAACCTGGGCAGCAACTTTGCTGGACACCTGCTGGCTCTTGGCCACGCAGAGTTGTGCCACATTCAGAGCTGAGCCTCGGCTTGTGACAGGCTGTGCACCAGTTGCGGCTTTGGCCTCTCTCTGAACACAACACCCCTCCTTGGAAGGTCCAGCACCCCCGTAACACAGCATGGCAGGGGTGGCAGGCCTTAAACTCCACCCAGCCAGCCTGGAGACAGCAGGTCTGGGCAGCTGTGACACTACCAGGAGGAGACAGCTCAGCTACTGGGCTGGGAAGCACTTTTCTAGGACACTGCTCAGTGGGGGCAGGGACCTGTGACTTTCACTCCAGGTACTGCTGAGATGGTGGGGCTCCCCTGTGGGCATAGAGATAGGCTGAGCTCCCCCATTTTCACTAGGGTCACTCACATTGAGGTGGTTTTTCTTTTTTTGAGACAGAGTTTCACTTTGTCGCCCCAGGTAGAGTGCTCTGGCGTCATAGCTCACAGCAACCTCTAGCTCTTGGGGTTAAGTGATTCTCTTTCCTCAGCCTCCTGAGTAACAGGGGCTACAGGCACCCACCACAACACTCTGTTATTTTTAGAGATGGGGTCTCGCTCTGGCTCAGGCTGGTCTCAAACTGATGAGCTTGGGCTATCCGCTTACCTTGGCCTCCCAGAGCCACCGTGCCCAGCCTCTGAGGTAGCTTTTATTTATTTATTTATTTTTTTGTCTATTTTTTTGTAGTTTTTTTTTGGGGGGGGGACGGGGCTGGGTTTGAACCTGCCACCTCTGGCATATGGGGCTGGTGCTCTACTTCTTTGAGCTATAGGTGGCACCCTATTTATTTATTTTTTTTTTGAGACAGAGTTTTAGTATGTCACCCTCGGTAGAGTGCTGTGGTGTCACAGCTCACAGCAACCTCAAACTCCTGGGCTTAAGTGATTCTCTTGCCTCAGCCTCTCAAGTAGCTAGGACTACAGGTGCAAGCCACAATACCTAGCTATTTTCTTGTTGTAGTTATCATTGTTGTTTGTCATGCCCGGGCTGGGTTCGAACCCTTCAACCCCAGTGTATGTGGCTGGCACCCTAACCACTGAGTGAGCTACAGGCACCAAACCTGAGGTGGTTTTTAGAACCCCACAGCTGCCCAAGTGGGTCGCCTAAGTAGGAAAAACAATAAAACAGGCTAAGGGCAGCCTCTGGGGCATGGTGCTGGGGGTGGTGGTGGGAGCCTGCTACCCTCCTGGAGCTGGATAGCAGGTATGTGGGGTGGCACAGGCCCTGGCCCCAAAGGGACAGCAGGAGTGTGAGTGTGTACTGAGTGGCTTCTTCCAGATTTTGCCCCAGGGATGGGGCAGGGCCATTTGCAGAGCAGGGAGCCATGGTGCTCCACTATAATAGTGGAACCTGGCCTGTGGCTCAGGGCTTGGATTGTCCCCATCCTGTGACCTAGGGCAAATAGGCAGCAGGAGGCAAGCACTGTCTCAGCAGTCCTGGGTCTACTGGGTGACCCAGGACAAGTGACTCAGCCTCTCTGTGCCCTGGGTTCTGCAGGGTGGGGAGGAAATGGAGGTGGGAAGGCATAGGGTGGAAGGTGTCCCATGGGGTTGAGGATAGTGGGAGAAGCCTGTGTCCCCAAAGAGATGAGGTGGGCGTTTTGGGGGCCTCAGTGGGACTGAGCTGGGTGACTGGGTGCCAGGGCCCACAGGGGCCTGACATAGCACCTGCCTGGCAGGAACCCTGACTAGGTAGGACCATGTGGCCTGGGTCCTGCTGCCACTGCCCTCTGGGGGTTCCTATCCTTGCCCTGTCCTGTCCTGTGGGTCCTAGAGTCACCAGCCACAGGGCCACAGCTCTCACATGCTGCCTCCACCCTGGGTGGCTCCTAATGGCAAATAATACCAGACACTTTGGGAATCTCAGGCCACAGGCAGCACCATGGATGGGGGTGGGGGCTGAGCACCAGGGAATAGTATTTTCCCAGGGTCCCTGGTCCTAGTTTTCCGCCTGAGATAAGGACCCTGGAGGGGACACCGGGTCTAGAAGAAGTGCTGGAAAGGACACTCATTTCCATGGTTTGCCATCTGCACCATGATGAGACCTTCTCCATCTACAGAGCTGGAGGCCTTGCTGGGGGTGGGGTGGGAACTGGGCCCCTCCTGCCAGTGACCTTTATGATCAGCTACTTGTGTTCCTGGGAGCAGGTGGGCTGTGAAGGTGGATATGAGGAAAAGAGATGCTTGAATTCTGAATCCCCCTGAAACTGCAGTATGAAATTCATCAAAGCAGTTCCATCTTTGGGTAGAAAACAGGTATTAAAGTTCATCCAATTGTGATGCATGCTTTCAGCATCTCAGCTGTATTCATTCTTTCACTCATTCTCAGCTTTGATTTTTTTTATTATTGTATTGTATTCTATTTTTAATAGAGACAGAGGTCTTGCTGTGTTGCCCAGGCTGGATTCAAACTTCTGGGCTCAAGAGACTTTCCTGCCTCAGCCCCTCAAGTAGCTGGGATTACAGGGATGCACCATCATGCTCAGCTCCAGCTCTATTTTAATGGAGAAAAACAATCTATGTGGGAAGTGTG